AGAGAATAAAATTGCTCTTAGTGCTCATTTTTAGTAACTTATTTAAAAGGTTAAACCTCCTTATCTTTCCAAACCTGACTGAACCAGATAGTTAATCTTTTTTCTTCCACTCTACTTTTAGTCCAAACATTATCCCAGTTATGTCAAGATTCCAAAGGAAAAAAAAAAAAAAAGGTGATCCTATTAGAATAAAAAAGCTGATGACTCCTACAAACAATAGCTTTTCCCTTTGCTGATTTAACTACAAGGCAAAATACTAAAGATTGTTAGAGCACAAGTCAGAGAAGACTTGTTGTTGTTGTTGTTGTTGTTGTTGTAGAGCACAAGTCAGAGAAGACTTCTTGTTGTTGTTGTTTTTTTATTTGAGAGGGAGAACATGAGTCAGAGAGAGTGGCAGAAGGGGAGAGAGAATCTTAAATAGCTTCCATGCTCATGGAGCCCAACACAGGGATTGATCCCACACCCTTGGGCTGATGACATCTGAGCTGAAATCAAGATTTGGATGCTCAACCAACTGGGCCTCCCAGGCACCCTTAGATTTTTTTTTTAAAGATTGATTTTGAAATCATTTAACGGCTGTGTGTTTAGTATTTTCATCAATGAAGTCTAAATGGAAATGTCTGCTCTATCTACCTCTTCACATTTTGGCACGTTAGAATAAAATAACATAAATAAAATACAGTTGGTTCTAGGCTTTTTTTATTCTCATTTTTCTAATTTCTTGAAATACAAACTTAGATGTTCAATTTGAGTTCTTCCCTCATTTCCAATGTGATCATGTAGTGTTGCAATAAAAATTTTTAGTATTGTTCTAGCTATACCCCACATGTTATGATACAGTGTATTTTCATTTTTATTCAGTTTTATGTATTTCTATTTCTTTTGTAATTTTCTATTTGACTCATGGATTATTTAGAAGGCATGTAATTTCTATGTAGTTAGTTAATGTCCATGCTGTTTTTCTGTTGCTGATTTCTAGTTTGAGTTCCATTGAGGTCAGAGTACACAATGTGTCTGATTTCAATCTTTTAAAGTTATTGAGATTTGTTTTATAGTTTTGGATAAGGCCCATTTGGATGAATGTTCCAGGGATCTTTTTAAACTATGTATTCTTGTTGAGTAGAGTGTTTTATACATGTTTTATATATTTTGATTAGATATTATTAGTTGATTGTGTTGTTCAAATCTTCTTTGTCCTTACTGAGTTTCTGTCTAGTAGTTCTATCAGTTTCTGAGAAGAAGGCATTGAAATACCCATCTATAATTATAGATTTGCCTATTTATTCTTTCTGCTTTATCAGTTTTTGTTTCATGTGTTTTGAAGATCTGTTGCTTTGTGTGTATTTTTTAGGATTGTTACGTCTTCCTGGTGGATATATCAATTTACATTGTGTAATGACTTTTTTTTCAATGTTTTATTTATTTCTAGGAGACAGACAGAGAGAGAGACAGCATGAACAGGGGAGGGTCAGAGAGAGAGGGAGTCACAGACTGAAACAGGCTCCAGGCTCTGAGCTGGCAGTCAGCACAGAGCCCGACGGGGGGCTCGAACCCACGAACCGCGAGATCATGACCTAAGCGAAAGTCAGACGCTTAACCAACTAAGCCATCCAGGTGCCCCTTGACTTCTTTTTATCTAATAATTTTATTTTGAAGTCTATTTTATCTTATACTGACAGAGCTATTCACTCCTGACTTTTATTATTAATGTCTGAATGGTGTATTTTCCCTATCTTTTGACCTTTAGCCTAAATATGCTACTGAATTTGAAATTTTTATAAACAGCATAAAATTCAGTTGTGTGTGTTTTTTAAATCTATTCTGCCAATATCTACATTTTACTTGATATCCTTACCTTTAAGATAACTATTGCTATATTAGGACTTACGTCTGTCATTTTATTATTTTCTATTTCCTCTGTTTTGCATTCCTATGTTTCTTTTTTCTTTTCTTCTTGTGTGTGAAATGAACATTTTTAGGTCTCTATTTTGATTTATTTTAGTTGTTTCTTAGTTATTATTTTGTATAGTTTCTGTAATGAGTGTTCTGACTATCATAATGTGTGACTTGTCACAGTGTCCTGGTATCAGTAATTTATCCCTCCTAACGAAGTGTGGAAAACTTACTTCTGTTTAGGTGCCTTTTTCAGCTCAGGTAATGATCTCATGGTTTGTGAGTTCAAGCCCCATGTTGGGCTCTGTGCTGGCAGTGTAGAGCCTGCTTGAGATTTTCTCTCTCCCTGTCTGCTCCCTCCCTCCCCCGCTGCTCAGTTGCTCTCTAAATAAATAGATGATAGATAGATAGATAGATAGATAGATAGATAGATGATAGATAGATAGATAGATAGATAGATAGATAGATAGATAGAAATTTGCTGTCATTTGAATTGGCATTCTCCCATAAGTAACATATCATTTATCTTTGGCAGTATTCAAGAGTTTTTACTTTGTCTTTAGTTTCCAGAAGTTTAATTATTATGTGCCTAGGTGTAGATTTCTTTGCATCTGTCTTGCTTGGAATTCACTCAGCTTCTTGAATCTGTAGGTTTATGTTACATTTACCTCCATATTTGGGAAGTTTTTAGCCATTATTTCTTTGAATATTCTTTAAGTCCCATTCTCTTATTGTAGGACTTCAGTGATACAAAGGTTGAATCTTTTGTTATTGTCCCACAGGATTCTGAGGCTCTGTTTATTACTTTTCAGTCTATTTTCTCTCTGTTGTTCCAACTGGGTAAATTCTATCAATCTGTCCTTGTGTTCATTGATTCTGTCCTCCTTTACCACTACTCAAATCTTGAAGCATCCTGCAGGTTTGTTATTGTGTATTTCAGTTCTATAATTTTCATTTGGTTCTTTTATGACATTGATTTCTTTCTTGTGATTTTCTGTTTTTTCATTTATTTGAAGGTAATATATAGTTGCAGGTTTGAACAGTTTTGTAATGGATGCTCTAAAATCCTTGTCAGATAATTCCATTATCTAATTCACCTCCGTATTTGTGTCAGGTAATTGTCTTTTATCATTCAAGCTGTGATTTCCCTGGTTCTTGGTATACAGGGTGATTTTTTTTTATTGTATCCTCAACGCTTTGTCCATTATGTTAGGAGATTTTTTGATTTAAATAAAACCAAAAATTATTTTATTGGGCAGGCACACAGGTCCTGGCCTATATATACGGGTTGTGATTCTAATAGTACTTTCCAGTGATGTTCTAATTTTCAAAACATGTGTAGTGTTAATTTAATTTGTTTGATTTACCTGATACTACCTGGGCTAGTGTCTCTATGTGGGAGAATAGAGTTTCCATCTTTCAAAGATGAAGAACACACTTACTGAGTTATGCACATATAGTTTCTTGATCACTTTTGCTGGTGCTAACCAAGCCACCTGAATCTCTAAATAGGGGAAAGAATTCTCTGACCTACAGGGACAAAGACCCTTTCCAGATCAGTCTACTTTTTGTGGCATCTCCCTTGGCATTTCTTCCTGGTATCTCCACCAAGGGAGGAGAGTTCAGGCTCAACAGAAGAGAGCACTTCTCTGGTTGCTTATTGTCAGTGAGGCTTCCAACTTTGCCCGTGTTGCCAGAATCATTTCATGCTGTTTGGGGGACTTCAACCCCATTAGTGTAAGGGATGATCTTATCCAAGCTGTTTTCTCATTTCATTGACGGTCATGAGATGTCTGGCCTAAGTTACCTTCTGTTGTTAAAGGGGAGACAAAATACCCTGTAGTTCTTCCAAGTCCTATAGTTACTAACCAGTTGCCTCTTTTCCAACTTTCAGATATCTTCTTTGGTGGCATCTTGTATTATTTCTATGGTATATAGTTCTACTTTTTGGGACAAGGAGGGGAGAAGAGTCTACACAGTCTTGTCCAGTACAAAAGTCCTAGCTTCAGTTTTATTATCCCTAAACCTACCTACCATAAAATGACTTGAATTATCTTTATAAAAGTCTACTCATGTCTCTTTTATAATTAAACTCCTTTAATAGATTCCAATCTATTTGATCAGTTACGTCAGAATCTCCTGAGATATTTGTTAAAATGCAAATTTATAGGTCTACCCAGACCAACTGAATGAGATTCTTTGAGAAAACATAATTTTAATGAATTTTTATATTAATATTACAAAATCACAGCAGTTGTAGCAGAAAGTCAGAAAAACAAAAAAAAAGACTGTTAAAATAGTACTTACTCATTACTTCAAAATACTAAAATGCACCAATAATAAATAGTAATGTAAACTACTTAATTTTGATTGAAATATTTATATCAATCATATGATCAAGTTAACTGGGATAATTAGATGCAAAACATATTTTAGTGATTGTCTTTTTGTTGATTTAGCTTATAATACAGTGTTATATTAATTTCAGGTTTGCAATACAATGATTCAAAAATTCAATTCACTACTCAGTGCTCATTATGATAATTGAGCCTCTTAACCCCCTTTATTCATTTCATCCATCCCGTTAATTACTTTTGAGTGTTTTTTAATTTTTAATTTCTTTATTTTTAATTTTTTCCTGTTTATTTTTGTGAGAGAGAGAGAGAGAGATAGAACGCAAGTGTGGCAGAGGCAGAGCGAGAGGGAGACACAGAATCTGAAACAGGCTCTAGGCTCTAGGCTATCAGCACAGAGCCTGATGCAGTGCTCAGAGATCATGACCTGAGCCAAAGTTGTACACTTAACAGACTGAGCCACCCAGGCACCCCGTTTGAGTGGTTTTGTTTTTGTTTTTGTTTTTGTTTTTTTACTGAAAAAGCCTGCTGAAAGATTAAATGGTGTGCTGATTACTGCATTTTATGTAAGGTTACATTAGTAATATATATAAATATTATGACTTCAAAATATCTCTTTTTAGATAATGCAGTCTTGTTGAGGTTCAATTTTGCCAACTTTACAAATATCATGATAATTTTTTCAATGGCATTCTTACTAACAACATAGAGGGAAAAAAAAACACTCATTGCTTTAAATGTAAGATTACTTACTGCTCTTTTTCTAGAACACCCTGTAATCCAAGGCACAGTAAGGTTTCCTGAAATCTGTGGAAACAATAAATGGAATTTCAGTAAGGTATGAATTGACACTATTTGGAATGCTGATCAACATCAAAGAATTCATACATGATGTCAACATAGGTCTGTATCAAGAGCATATCCCCCACATAGACAATGCCATTTCCTTACTGGCCACAACAGATTTAAAAACCTTCTTTTCTTGGAAAATTTTAGAAGCAGCAATTCCTCTGGAAATTCAAGAAAATTTCAAGGGCACTGTTGGGGCCTGAAAGTATGATTTACAAATCTGTGGACAAGATAATTATTGTAATAAAAATGCAGTGCTCTGTGGAATACATAAGTTATAATAATTAAATTATTGACTATAATTATCATTCTGTGTATTCGTTCTCTACACTTATCCTATATAACTGCAAAATCCTTTTTAAACAGAGACTACTAAGATGAATAGGCAGCAACACCTCATTACATCAACATTGGCATACAAGGAGATAGGTACTACTCCAGTTGGATTCTGGGGACTGTTTACAGAGGCCAAGGTGGACCTCTGAGCTATAGCAGAGGGTAGCCTAGATATAACCATACTTTTTCCTGAAATACACAAGTTTTGGAGAATACTCCAAAGTCCCCACTTGCCTTCTCCTTCTCTCCCAGACACATACCTCCTGAGAGACTGACAAGTCAAATCAGCCTTGCCAAATGGTGATGGTGAGAATATGTCATTCAATCAAACATTTATTGTTTTTTATAATTTATATTCAGTGATGGCCAATGAATTGGTATTATGCCTACTGATAAGGAGTGTTAAACAGTCAATACAAATAGTAAAGTAATATCCTTAATTATTCAAAATTTAGGTAAATTATTACTGTTCTCCTTGGCCACTAGGCCTGAAATTTTATTCTGAGTTCAAAATATACCACTATGCTAGGGATAGGCTAGCAAAATTAATGTTATAAACTCCAAATAATACTTTTAAGGAAAAAATTAAAAAATAATTTTACTTGAGTTAACATCACATTACAGTAAGATGGCAATTAACTATAATGCTTGAGGATCAGGAAAAGTTTCAAATAATTGATTTTTAAAATGGTAAACTGAGTGATAATGAAATTTCTATGGAAAAAATTCTTCAAAATGTATAATTTCCTGTTCTTCCATCAATACTTGGAATATAATATAATGTTTACAAAGTAATTTGGCTGCTAGCCTCAATGAAAGAGGTAAGTCTACCAAAATAATCACATAATATACTCTTGAAAAAACAGAGATATCAAAATATTTTGGATTATCTGTGCACATACTCCCACCTATTAGTGAGGATAATTTAAAACTGGCTATATAAATTTGCTAGAGAAAACATGTTAAACCAAATGAACTGGAAAACAAACAAACAAACAAACCCTGGGATGCCTGGATGGCTCAGTTGGTTAAGCATCCAATTCTTGGTTTTGCCTCAGGTCATGATCTCATGGTCTTGAGATTGAGCCCCTCATCGGGTCAGTACTGGGTGTGCTGCTTGCTTAAAAAATTTCTCTCTCCTCCTCCCTCTGCTCCTCTCCCCAACTAGTGATCGCTCTCCCAAAAAGAAATTTAAAAAATATATATAAACCAGTAACTACTAAAAAGTTACATATGAAATAAGAAAAATGATACATATAATATACATGATAAATTAATGGGGATTATACATTTTAAGAATATAAAATGTGGTTATCTGCTTAGGTCAATTATATGTAACCAAGAAAATAGAAAACTTATATAAGCACATTAGCATACAAATATCAATTCCATGTGAGTTGGGAAAAGATGAAGTTTCACTTTTTTGCTTTATAATTCTGGACGCCAGTTACATAATACTCAAATGCTATGTTCAACTACCTTCCTTTTTTTATTTCAAAATTTTTTTTCAGTTCTTTATGTTTCTGGTAAAACTCAGGAACAGCTAAGCATAGCACCTAAATTTGTATGCTTTTTTGAAGAATAATAGGGTATAAACATATTTGGGAAATTTTGTTTGGTCAGTAGTGATGACAAGATTTTTCCCTCACCAGAAGCTATAAAAATAGTATATCCAATGAGCAGGATAATATAGTAATCATTTACGTGACATTTAAATTTCAAACACATTTTTCAATACCCTGGTTTGGAAAAAAATAAAAGTAATTGATAAGGAGACAAGACCAACTTAACAAATATATTTGAACTTACACATACAAATGAGTACTATGTGTTTCAAATTAGAAAACAGGAAATTATACAGTCATTACAATAATATTGGCATTGTTGAAAACATTTTGGGAACTTTTCTTGGCAGTTCACGACACCCAGAGACTCTGTCTCATTATTTCATATTCTCTTTGTTTTAACTGAAAATATAATAGCCCAAATTGAACATCAATATTATTCACTAAATGTGGCTCAGAATAAATTCTGACTATTTTCCAAAGTCAAATTTTCCCTCAAATGATGGAGGTTTGTCACCAATAAGTGCCAATTTCGGCTCAGGTCATGATCTCACAGTTAGTGAGTTCGAGTGCCACATTGGGCTCTATGCTGACAGGTCAGAGCCTGGATCCTGCTCTGGATTCTCTTTCTCCCTCTCTCTCTGCCCTTCCCCCACTCATGCTCTGTGTCTCTGTCTCAAAAATAAACATTAAAAAAAAATCTCACAGGCCCTTAAAGCAAGTGTAACAGAATTTCAACAACTTTTTGACAAATTAAACATGATTGAAATAAATACAGATAACTTTCCAAAGTCACGAATTTGAACCTAATTTCTACAGAATATGCTGTTTTAGGTACTATAGGAAATAAACAAGATGGGCAAAATATAATTTCCTAGAGGGCAAGAATTATGATAGGGAAAGATAAGAAACATGCATGGATGATTTTAATATAAAGAATACTATGATAAGTGCCATGAGAGGTATAATAAATTAAATGCAATAGAAGTTCAAGATATGGCAAAATTATAACAAATTTGAGGATTTATATCTCAGCTGAACCTCAAAAAATGGGCAGAATTCTTTTAAAAATTTTTAATATTTTATTTATTTTTGAGAGCAAGAAAGAGCACAAGCAGGGGAGGGGTAGAGAGAGAAAGAGGAAGACACAGAATCTGAAACAGGCTCCAGGCTCTCAGCTGTCAGCACAGAGCCCGACTTGGGGCTCGAACTCATAAACCAAAAGATCATTCATTACCTGAGCCGAAGTCGGACGCTCAACCGACTGAGCCACCTACGTGCTCCAGAATACTTGTAGAAATAAAAAACAGCATTCCAGGGAAAAAAGATGGCATGAGCACAGTGGAATAAAATGATACGATGTATTTGGGAATGGTCAGTTTAATTAGAATTAAAAATAGAATTGGGGTTACTTTGTGCAGGTCATGAATACCAAAGTACATTTACATGTAATTCTGTGGAAAATAAGGAGCCGTTCAAAGTTTTAAGCAAATGAATTATATGATCAGAATGCATTTTTATACAGTAAGATGATTAATCTGACTCAATGTGTATAGTAAATTTAATCAGTATGGAAACTTATAATAGTTTAGGCAAGAGGCAGTCCAGACTTGGGACAAAGTTAGGGAGTAGTAATTGAGAAGAGAGCTATAAAATACATTACTAAAGACAGGCCTTGTGCATGAAATTAGAGAGAGAACGACACAGTCTGGAAAAGTTTTTTTTTTTTTTAATTTCTTTAAAAATTTTTGATGGCCATCATAAGACTGCCTCTCCAAATGTTTGGCCTGCTCAAAAAGAGAGTTAGAGAGTCACAATTTTGAATATGAATGCAATGAAGTGCCTAATGTTAGAAATATTCTCACAGAAAAATGTGGACACCCTAGGGGTGCCTGGGTGGCTCAGTCAGTTAAGCGTCCATCTCTTGATTTTGGCTCAGGTCATGATCTCACAGTTTGTTAGATCAAGCCCTGCATCGGACTCTATGCTGACAGCACGGAGCCTGCTTGGGATACTCTCTTCCTTTCTCTTTGCCTCTCCCCATGCTGGAACTCTCTCTCTCTCTCAAAAATAAATAAATAAATAAATAAATAAATAAATAAATAAATAAATAAAATAAACATTAAAATAATAAAATAAAATAAAAGTAAATATACTAAAGGAGATAATACACTTATTTGGATGTAAACTGGAGTCACATCATATGGATAGTTGAAGTTTGTGAATCCAACTATAACACACTTACCTTTCTCATGGAAAATTCTATTCAACATAAGTACTATACATCAGAATGTTAATTATACATTATGCACAATTACTTTTATAGATGATTTAAAGGATTTTTAAAGGAATTTTTTACTACGTTTCATTTTTCACAATTTAGACCTTACATATAACTCTGCCATAATATTTCTGCTAGATTATGAGATTCTTAAGGGCAAGGTATCATGTTTAAAACAATTTAGTCTATTGTTATAAAGTCACACAAGGAATATACACAAAAAAGCATTCATTAGATTTCAGAAATTTTTCTGTTAAAAGACAATTCTCCACATATGCTGGATATTCTATTTAAAAATTTGATCAACTGAAACAATCAGACAATAACCATGTCTATCAGAAAAGTTTAACAGCAACAGATTCATAATAAACTGATATTTTTTGCTTTCCATCAGCTGTCCTGATATCAGTTGAACAATAAAACATATCAAGCATTCTGCTTTCATCAGCAGAGCTTCCTAGATATTTTAAAATTATAAGATATAGAGAATAGAAGACACTGCTGGGCATTTGATAAGCAATCAATAAATATATGCTGATTGATTGGATGATTGAATTAACATGCACTTTATACACTCGCTTCACTTGCTGAAATTCAACAAAAGGCCAAGAGTAGAAATGTACAAGAGACCATTAGTTGGGGGTAGACAGTTGGGAAGAGGGAATAACTAGATTCTGGTAGAGTATAATGTGTTCTAGAGGAAAGAAGTAAGGATATACTGGCTTTTAAAAAAAATATTTCCCAGGAGGGAGGCAAGATGGCAGAGAAGTAGGGAG